GGCTTCGCAGGGCTTCGCAGGGCTTCGCAGGGCTTCGCAGGGCTTCGGGCAAGATCAAGGGTGTAGTTGTAGCGTTTAACCCTCAATCTGCTTGCAAAGGGCAACATTCAATGAAATTCTGTGCCAGAGGAGCTTTTGACAGTTTTGTATTTGGACGAGAACAGACATTTGGATACATTTGAGCAAAATGCTAAAGGTCGGCATTCACGTTTCTTCAAAAAATAACATTAACATTTTCTTTGAACAAACGCTAGTAATCCCAACAACGATACCTAGCCTTGTGACGGTACAAATCTTGGAATCTATCTTTGCCTATTGACACTGTTGACACTCGCCACCGCGTATGTCCAACGTTTTTTGTATATAATATATATATATATAGAAATGGTTTGCCATGCTAGTTGGACATTCCATTTCGTTTTTTTGCCCATCTTCCTGCCTTTCTGTTTCTTCGATGAGAACAAGGTTAGACCGATACCAAAAACGATACCCACTTCATAGGTCTGGGTTATCGACAGAGCGACTCCAAAACCAACGTTGCTCTGACCTCCAGGCTCTTGGTGGCGACTCAAGACCCAGAGCTGCTGGCCACACTGCGAGCAGTGCCCGGAGTTCCTCTTATCAGGCAGGGAACACGAACAGGCAAATAGAGTGGAGTAGGTTCACGCGGGTTCAAGGGAACAAACATCTATTTTGGGGACTTTTGCGATGGACCACCCATACTGTATTCCAGGTGTTCTGTTGTTGTGTGACAGTTTTGGTTGTTATTGTGGATAGTCAGTCCGCCATGTGGCTACAAGAAGGATGGTGCAGGTACGGGACAGAGCGATTTAGTTCGTAGTCTTTCCAGACTTTCGGCAATGTGAGTTTAGGAGAGAAATTGAATTCTTGATTGCAACAGACCTTGTTGCGGATCGCCCGGCTAAAGGCCAATGGCCAGCAACCAATGGGCCAAATCAGTTACCAATCACCGATCTTTGAAAAAAAACACCATGTGAATCCATTTGAAACCAATGTTGGCAAGAACCTAGTTAGTAGCAAGGACGCTACTAGTAGCTCGGGGCATTACTACTAGTAGCTAGAAGCGACTAGTAACAAGGTGCATCGCTACTAGTAGTATTGACCATTTCAAGAACCATTTGAGATCGATTTTCGACGCTCTCGAGGCTTCATGGCCCAGTCCCTCAGTTGGAAGAGCCCTCGAAGGCCTCCCGAGGAGCAGCTGAGGCAAAGGAGAAGCAGAAACGGTGCCCTGGATTCACCTGAATGGATGGCCTGAGTTCATTTGTTTTTTTTAAATAATCCCGCAGAAGAGGTAGAAGAGGTAGCTATATATAGTAGCTAGTAAGTAGGACGCTTCCAGACAGGGACAGATAGCTCACACTTCCTTGAAGAAGCGCTCGCACTAATGATTTGGTTCCAACATTTTAGGCGTCACCCAACAGACAACAGCGCCTGTCATGCCTATTGCACCTTGTAGGAAGAACATCATGTTGCAAAGCTTGGCAGCATCAGCATGACGTACTTGTTTCCGGGAACGATAAAGGCATCTCATCAACCCTGCAAATTTTGAGATAGACAGACACAAAGAGACTCAAAGCACCCTGGTCGTGCAGTGCACACATCCTGGCATAGTGGTATTTTTGAAGTTGCTTTTGGGCATGTGACGTTTATTCAAACAGGAAAGATAACGCCCATGCAAGGTACAGGGGTTTGCAGGAGTTTGCCATGAAACTACGATTGATCTTTGTATTTTGGTTGCTTTGTAAGTCGCCCTCTTTCTTCTATTGTTGTTTGTCTCTTTCTACCTACGTTCAGAGTGACGCATCTTCCCGTAAGTCCCCCAACCAAAGGCCCTCTGTCCAGCTGTAGGTCAAACTCCTTGGTTGTGACTTGCACCCTGAGATTGTTTTTGAACAGAGGAGCGAGTAGATCAAACCAGGGGGACTGTTGGTTTTACCTGCCAAGGTGTCCCAAGGTCCCTTGATTCACTACTGGAATTCACATTTCGCCCTGCAAGACAAGGACTTGTGCGAACTGGGAGCGACCCAAGCTGCCTGAGCTCAAGGTTGGGAATAACAGAATAACATGGAATATTCCGAACTGCCTCAAGAGTCTGTGCACCGCAGTTGGATCCCGTGAATGATTTCACACACACTCGAAGGCCAAAGAAGTGAAAGCCAAAGCCCTGGCCGAGAAGCCGAAGAAGCTCCGAAAGAAGAAAGGAGACGCGTCGAGCTGGTCCGCTCCTTCTCCCGGACGCGACCTTTGGGCACAGATTTTCGGGATCTGAATCTGGGTGCCTTTTTGGGCATCCGAGTTTGATCCAGGGAGTTCTCCCTTCAAGTTTTGTTTGGTCGTTGAGAAAGTCCTGTCGCCATCAGGATTTCTCATACTTCACCACCCATTGCAACTTGTCCGACTCGTTTGGGGAGACCTATTTGGGTGATTTGAGGGTAAACTTAAACACCAATGAATGAACAAACTTTTTCCTCGTGCCTTTGGAGGCCTCCATGACGGTACAATGCAACACTCAGATATTTTGTGCAGGAGTGAATCCTTTGAGCTGCAAGAAGTCCAAGAAGAAAGGCCCGAAAGGCCCGAGTTTGGCACAGTGTCGTTGGATGGTGATCGGCTGATCCCAAAAATGCCTAATTAGAAATACTGTTTCCCTGCAACCATGATGGGTGAATCCATCGTTGAGGATCTTCGAAGACTTGCAAATGATGGTGGCTGTGACAACTTTAGGTTAGGAAAATCATTATGAGATCGTTTGAGTTCCAAATCACATTTCAGGAAACCCAAAGACACCTGGTTGCATCACGAGAAACTGTTTTCTGCACAGCCACGACTCCAGCCTGGCCTCAACTGAGGAAACAAAGAGTCGAGGAACTGAATCCGAAACTGCTTTTCAAAGGAATATTTGGAGCCGAACAGCATCTCCGACAGATCTAGGCATGCCTGGCATGCTCCAAAACTAGGGGATCCAACAACAACAACACCAGCAGCAGCAGCAGCAACAGCAGCAACAAGAACAAGAACAAGAACAAGAACAAGAACGACGACGACGACCACAACAACAACAACAACAACAACAACAACAGCAACAGCAACAGCAACAGCAACAGCAACAGCAACAGCAACAGCAACAGCAACAGCAACA